CATAAACGCACGACATAAACGCACGACATAAACGCACGACATAAACACACGACATAAACGCACGACATAAACGCACGACATAAACGCACGACACGACATAAACGCACGACATAAACGCACGACGACATAAACACGACATAAAACGACACGACATGACATAAAACGACACACGACATAAACACACGACATAAACGCACGACATAAACACACGACATAAACGCACGACATAAACGCACGACATAAACGCACGACATAAACATACGACATAAACGCACGACATAAACGCACGACATAAACGCACGACATAAACGCACGACATAAACGCACGACATAAACGCACGACATAAAACACGACATAAACACAGGACATAAAACGCACGACATAAACACACGACATAAACACACGACATAAACACACGACATAAACGCACGACATAAACACACGACATAAACGCACGACATAAACACACGACATAAACACAGAACACGGGGCACAGTCCAGTAAAAGAAAGCACAGAGTCCCTCATGATTCAGTACGAAACACAAGACATGGATCATGATACGATTCTCTACAACTGTTTTAAACACAGGTGTCAAACATACGGCCCGGGGGCCAGATCCGGCCCTCCAAGACCTTTAATGTGGCCCTCGGCTGATTTTCTACTAAAATATTTTAATGATATTTTCTATTAAAATGTTGTTAATTTTGTGTGGTGTTTATCACAGCAGCGTCTCCAGCGTCTCTGTACGTGGCCCCTCCCACCAGAGCAGCACAAATGAAGACTTGTCTCTTTCCAAACGCTCTTAAAGGACGATCGTTTTGACTGTTGACCGTGACACCCTCATCAGAAAAATGTCCAACATGAGAAAAGTGGAGCCGAGTGCAGGATTTTACAACAAAAATGGACTTACTCCTGTTTACAGACAAGTTCATGTTCAAACTTTGTGTTGAAATTGTATTTTTCTTAGTTTCAGGTTGTTCATAATATTATAATATTTAGTAAAAGAAAGAGTTCATCAATTAAAAAGATTTGTGTAATAGATTTGTGTTTCTCGGCACAAATATTTGAACTTACTTGTTATTTTTGGGGTTTATATGACATGAGTTTTCTGATCTGGAAACTTTGGATCAAAGTCAGTTGGACACGACCCCGGAACAAAATGAGTTTGACACTCCTGGTTTTAAAGATCAAAACTGTGAATATCTTAAGTGCAACAAACAAATTTACTTCCAATAAATAAGGGAAGAAATTGTTGCGTGGTGACAAAAGTTGCAAAAAAACACCAAAAAATATTCTACCACCAAATTTTATATTGAAATATATCGACGTTTGAATATGTATCAGTATTTTTGCTTGGGCAGTTTTGTGACGTACGTTCATGACAAACTTGGTGTAGCTCCTGATGGCCGAGGCCTGACTGAACTGAAACACAAACACCACAGTTTTATCAGAGCGATTAGAGCATCAGATGTTTCTCGTGTTGACGTGTTCGTACCGTGTCGTCGTCGGCGTACGTGTTTATGAAGTGACACAGGAGGTTGTAGCCCCAAAGATACAGCAGCTCCCCCAGAACATGTGGAACCAGACCCCTGCACACAACACACGTGTGTACAGAGAGGCCCTTACACACAACACAGGTATATACAGGGCCCCTGCACACACACACACACACACACATGTAGATACTCACACGTAGAAACCCGCCAGTCCCTCCTCGTTGAAGATCTGCATCACACAACTCAACATCCCTCTGCAACAAGAAACACACCAGAGACTTTTAAAGACTCACTCTGGAACCTTTTTCCTCTGTCACAACAGGCTGGTTCACAGTTTAAACTGAGACTTCCTTCACCCCAGACACTTCCTCCAGCTCCTCCAGCGGGACCCCGAGGTGTTCCCAGTCCAGTCCAGAGACTAAGACTACGTTCAGACTGCAGGACTTAACGCTCAATTCAGATTTTTTTGTGAAATCCGATGTTTTTGCGAGGTCGTTCACATTTCCAGTTAAATGTGACTTGTGTGTGACTCCAGTGTGAACATTAAACGGTCCAAAAGTGTCCCACATGTGACACTGGAGACACGACGACGTCAACCGCAGCGAGCGTCTCTGTGTTTACAGAAGTTGAACAAACATGGACGCAGCATCGAGCACCTGGAGATTTTAAAGTTCCTCTCGTACCGGAGCCAGAACATGAACAACTTACTTGTTTTAAGGAGGAGATTGAGAAGGAGAAGGACCGAGGTTTTTGGTCGTGGTGTTTTGTGGTGAGTGGAGATGTGCTTCACTTCAGTCACAGTTTATTAACAATTTTCTCCTACTTCAGTGCAGAATAGTGACGTTTGTGTCTTGTTGATGACGTGTAGGTGGATGAATGCACTTTGACCGTTCACACTGAAGTCACATGTCAAAAGATCAGATATGGATCAGTTTCAGGAGCACAGATCCAAGTGTCCTGGGTCATGTTTGAAAAAATCGGATCTGTGTGGTTCAGACGTCATTAAAAGATCAGATACAGGAACATAGAGACAAAAAATCAGATTTGGGTCACTTCAGGTGCAGTGTGAACACAGCCTTAGTCCCTCCAGTGTGTCCTGGCTCTTCTCCTCCCTGTGGGACATGAACACCTCCTGAGGGACACGTCCAGGAGGCATCAGAACAGACGTCCTCCCCTCAGACGCTCCTCTCCACGTGGAGGAGCAGCGGCTCTACTCCGAGCTCCTCACTCTGTCTCTGTGGAGGAAACTCATTTGTGTCTCTTGTATCATGGATCTGGTCCTTCGGGTCATGACCAGAGGTGAGGGGAGGAACGGAGACTGACGCTAAATCCAGACTCAGCTCCTCTTCACCACAACGACCGATACAGCGACCGCATCACTGCCCACGCTGCACCTGTCCACCTGTCAATCTGCCCACGCTGCACCTGTCCACCTGTCAATCTGCCCACGCTGCACCTGTCCACCTGTCAATCTCACACTGCACCTGTCCACCTGTCAATCTGCCCACGCTGCACCTGTCCACCTGTCAATCTGCCCACGCTGCACCTGTCCACCTGTCATCTGCCCACGCTGCACCTGTCCACCTGTCAATCTGCCCACGCTGCACCTGTCCACCTGTCAATCTGCCCACGCTGCACCTGTCCACCTGTCAATCTGCCCACGCTGCACCTGTCCACCTGTCAATCTGCCCACGCTGCACCTGTCCACCTGTCACTCTGCCCACGCTGCACCTGTCCACCTGTCAATCTGCCCACGCTGCACCTGTCCACCTGTCAATCTGCCACGCTGCACCTGTCCACCTGTCACTCTGCCCACGCTGCACCTGTCCACCTGTCACTCTGCCCACGCTGCACCTGTCCACCTGTCACTCTGCCCACGCTGCACCTGTCACCTGTCAATCTGCCCACGCTGCACCTGTCCACCTGTCACTCTGCCCACGCTGCACCTGTCCACCTGTCAATCTCACACTGCACCTGTCAATCTGCCCACGCTGCACCTGTCCACCTGTCAATCTGCCCACGCTGCACCTGTCACCTGTCAATCTGCCCACGCTGCACCTGTCCACCTGTCAATCTCACTGCACCTGTCAATCTGCCCACGCTGCACCTGTCCACCTGTCAATCTCACACTGCACCTGTCCACCTGTCAATCTGCCCACGCTGCACCTGTCCACCTGTCCACCTGCCCACTCTGCACCTGTCCACGCTGCACCTGTCCACCTGTCAATCTGCCCATGCCACGACCTCAGATTTGTAGTTTTTTTTGTAGTTTTTTTGTAGTTTTTTTGTAGTTTTTTTGAAGTCATTTTAAACATAAAAACAGGACTTACCTGTATTTCTCTTCTCTGCCCACAAACTGAGCCATGCAGCGAACCGACACAACTGCAACACAAGAACAGTCCATGAGGAGGCGCCGCTGAGTCTGAGACAAACACACACACTCCTAGTTTTATATGTCATTTTTGTGTGGAGCCTGTTTAAAGATGCACTCTGTAGTTTTTACGTTGGGGCGGGAGCTGCTCGTCGTCATGGAGATATTATCACTACGACTGGAACTGTTGTATAATTATAAATGTGTTTATTTTCTCCAAAGAAGAAACAGAACGGCACAGATGAAACAGGTTTGTTTTTTATATCTACACAAAGTTCTGACGGAGTTAAACCAGTACAAAAATATAACACAACTAAACCAGGACTAAACCAGGACTAAACCAGGACTAAACCAGGACTAAACCAGGACTAAACCAGGACTAAACCAGGACTAAACCAGGACTAAACCAGGACTAAACCAGGACTAAACCAGGACTAAACCAGGACTAAACCAGGGCTAAACCAGGACTAAACCAGGACTAAAACCAGGGCTAAACCAGGACTGAAACCAGGACTGACTAAACCAGGACTAAACCAGGACTAAACCAGGACTAAACCAGGACTAAACCAGGACTGAACCAGGACTGAACCAGGACTGAACCAGGACTAAACCAGGGCTAAACCAGGACTAAACCAGGACTAAACTAGGACTAAACCAAGACAAAACCAGGACTATAACAAGACTAAACCAGGACTAAACCAGGTCTAAACCAGGACTGAACCAGGACTGAACCAGGACTGAACCAGGACTGAACCAGGACTAAACCAGGACTGAACCAGGACTGAACCAGGACTGAACCAGGACTAAAACTAGGACTAAAACAGGATTAAATCAGGACTAAAACAAGACTAAAACTAGGACTAAAACAGGATTTAATCAGGACTAAACCATGACTAAACCAGGACTAAAACAAGACTAAACCAGGACTAAACCAGGACTAAACCAAGACTAAAACAAGACTAAACCAGGACTAAACCAGGATTTAATCAGGACTAAACCAGGACTAAACCAGGACTAAACCAGGACTAAACCTTGCCGTGCCCCTGGTCCTCAAAATATTGTTGGACATAAAACCGTCCGTGGAGCTAAAAAGGTTGAGGAAAACTGATGTAAAACACAGAAGAAAACAGAAGAGAAGAGAAGAAGTTGGACGCACCGTGAAAAGGGTGACAGGCGACTCTGGAGACACATCGCAGCAACATCTCATGAGACGTCTGCACAAACAAACAAACAAGAAGAACTTTAGAACAACAGAAGAACTCAGGTCCTCAGGTCACAGAGGAAGGAACAGTCAGAGGAACATTCAGAGGAACAGTCAGAGGAACATTCAGAGGAACATTCAGAGGAACAGTCAGAGGAACATTCAGAGGAACATTCAGAGGAACAGTCAGAGGAACAGAGGAACAGTCAGAGGAACAGTCAGAGGAACATTCAGAGGAACATTCAGAGGAACAGTCAGAGGAACAGTCAGAGGAACAGTCAGAGGAACATTCAGAGGAACAGTCAGAGGAACAGTCAGAGGAACAGTCAGAGGAACAGTCAGAGGAACAGTCAGAGGAACAGTCAGAGGAACATTCAGAGGAACATTCAGAGGAACAGTCAGAGGAACAGTCAGAGGAACATTCAGAGGAACAGTCAGAGGAACAGTCAGAGGAACATTCAGAGGAACAGTCAGAGGAACATTCAGAGGAACAGTCAGAGGAACATTCAGAGGAACAGTCAGAGGAACAGTCAGAGGAACATTCAGAGGAACATTCAGAGGAACAGTCAGAGGAACAGTCAGAGGAACATTCAGAGGAACAGTCAGAGGAACATTCAGAGGAACATTCAGAGGAACATTCAGAGGAACATTCAGAGGAACAGTCAGAGGAACAGTCAGAGGAACAGTCAGAGGAACATTCAGAGGAACATTCAGAGGAACAGGTCAGAGAGGAACATTAACATTCAGAGGAACAGTCAGAGGAACATTCAGAGGAACAGTCAGAGGAACATTCAGAGGAACATTCAGAGGAACAGTCAGAGGAACAGTCAGAGGAACAGTCAGAGGAACATTCAGAGGAACAGTCAGAGGAACAGTCAGAGGAACATTCAGAGGAACATTCAGACTTTTCCTGTTTGTGACTCTTTTTTGTGTTTTTTAAAACCATCATCTTTGGTTTTGTGAATAAACTGTTGTTGTTGATCTTGATTTAGAAACGACTGAGGAAGTTTCCTTCCTCCATCAGTCCTCCAGACACACAACACAAGTGTCCAAGATCACACAGAGTACACAGAGTACACAGAGTACACAGAGTACACAGAGTATACAGTGTACACAGATCACACAGAGTATACAGGGTACACAGAGTACACAGATCACACAGGGTACACAGGGTACACAGAGTACACAGAGTACACAGGTCACACAGAGTACACAGAGTACACAGAGTACACAGAGTATACAGAGTACACAGAGTACACAGAGTACACAGGTACACAGAGTACACAGAGTCACACAGAGTACACAGAGTACACAGATCACACAGAGTACACAGAGTACACAGAGTATACAGGGTACACAGAGTACACAGTGTACACAGATCACACAGAGTACACAGATCACACAGAGTATACAGAGTACACAGAGTATACAGTACAGAGTACACAGAGTACACAGAGTACACAGAGTATACAGGGTACACAGAGTACACAGAGTACACAGGGTACACAGAGTATACAGGGTACACAGAGTACACAGGTCACACAGAGTACACAGAGTATACAGGGTACACAGGAGTACAGGTACACAGAGTATACAGTACACAGAGTATACAGGGTACACAGAGTACACAGGGTACACAGTACACAGGTACACAGAGTACACAGGTACACAGGTACACAGAGTACACAGAGTACACAGGTCACACAGTACACAGAGTCACACAGAGTACACAGAGTATACAGGGTACAGAGAGTCACACAGAGTATACAGAGTACACAGAGTATACAGGGTACACAGAGTACACAGAGTACACAGAGTACACAGGTCACACAGAGTACACAGGGTACACAGAGTACACAGGTCACACAGAGTACACAGGGTACACAGATCACACAGAGTACACAGGTCACACAGAGTACACAGAGTATACAGGGTACACAGAGTACACAGAGTACACAGAGTACACAGAGTACACAGAGTACACAGGTACACAGAGTACACAGAGTACACAGAGTACACAGGTCACACAGAGTACACAGAGTATACAGGGTACACAGAGTACACAGAGTATACAGGGTACACAGAGTATACAGAGTACACAGAGTATACAGAGTACACAGAGTACACAGGGTACACAGAGTACACAGAGTATACAGGGTACACAGAGTATACAGAGTATACAGGGTACACAGAGTACACAGAGTATACAGGGTACACAGAGTACACAGAGTATACAGGGTACACAGAGTATACAGAGTACACAGAGTATACAGGGTACACAGAGTACACAGAGTATACAGGGTACACAGAGTACACAGAGTACACAGAGTATACAGGGTACACAGAGTACACAGGTCACACAGAGTACACAGAGTACACAGGGAGTTTTCTATGCAGTACTGAACTAAAGGTACTTGATAAATGACTGGAAAAGTGGAAAAGTTTGATACTCACTTCTTTGACCAGAGCCTTGAGTGACGTCTCCTGCTCGTCTTTGGCACTGACCAGCTCCATCTGACAAACACACACACACACACACACACACATCACAACACACACACACACACACAACACACACACACACACACACACACACACACACACAACACACACACACACACACACACACACACACACACACACACACACACACACACACACACACACACAACACACACACACACACACACACACACACACACACACACACACACACATCACACACACACACACACACACACACACACACACACACACACACACACACACACACACACACACACACACACACACACACACACACACACACACACACACACACACACACACACACACACACACACACACACACACACACACACACACACACACACACACACACACACACACACACACACACACACACACACACACACACACACACACACACACACACACACACACACACACACACACACACACACACATCACACAACACACACACACACACACACACACACACACACACACACACACACACACACACACACACACACACACACACACACACACACACACACACAACATCACACACACACACACACACACACACACACACACACACACACACACACACACACACACACACACACACACACACACAACACACAACATCACACACACACACACACACACACACACACACACACACAACACAACACAACATCACACACACACACACACAACAACACACACACACACACAACATCACAACACACACACACACACACATCACAACACACACACACACACACACACAACATCACAACACACACACACACACACACACACACACACACACAACATCACAACACACACACACACAACACACACACACACACACACACACACAACATCACAACACACACAAATGAACAAACAAACGTCATTTACATCTCAGACATGTTTGTATTAAATATGTCGTCAGTGAGTCCAGAAGAGTCTAATGTAAATCTGTGTGAGTGGACAGAGGACAGAAGGCAGTGGACACAGGGTAATGGACAGTGGACAGTGGGTTCAGTGGACAGTGGGTTCAGGGGACAGTGGACAGTGGGGTCAGTGGGTTCAGAGGACAGTGGACAGTGGGGTCAGTGGGTTCAGGGGACAATGGACAGTGGGTCTTACCTGTTTGACTCTCCTCTTGACGAGGGTGGACAGTGGGTTCAGAGGACAGTGGACAGTGGGGACAGTGGGTTCAGGGGACAGTGGACAGTGGGGACAGTGGGTTCAGTGGGTTGAGTGGGTCTTACCTGTTTGACTCTCCTCTTGACGAGGGTGGACAGTGGGTAGTGGACAGTGGGTTCAGGGGACAGTGGGTTCAGTGGACAGTGGGTTCAGAGGGTTCAGAGGACAGTGGACAGTGGGGTCAGTGGGTTCAGTGGACAGTGGACAGTGGGTCTTACCTGTTTGACTCTCCTCTTGACGAGGGTGGACAGTGGGTAGTGGACAGTGGGTTCAGGGGACAGTGGGGTCAGTGGGTTCAGTGGACAGTGGGGACAGTGGGTTCAGAGGACAGTGGACAGTGGGGACAGTGGGTTCAGAGGACAGTGGGTAGTGGACAGTGGACAGTGGGTTCAGTGGGTCTTACCTGTTTGACTCTCCTCTTGACGAGGGTGGACACGGCGCAGCAGACGATGTGCGGAGACAAACCTCTGAACAAACCTCCAGACCCGTCCACCTCAAGGATGTGCTGTGCTGAGACACACAAAACACACAATCACACACAGAACACACAAAAAAACACACAAAACACACAAAACACACACAGAACACACAAAAACACACAAACACACACACACACACACAAAACACACAAAAAACACACAAAACACACACACACACACACACAAAACACACAATCACACACAGAACACACAAAACACACACAGAACACACAAAAAACACACAAAACACACACAAACACACACACACACACAAAACACACAATCACACACAGAACACACACAAAACACACACAAAAAACACACACACACACACAGAACACACAATCACACACAGAACACACAAAAAACACACAAAACACACACACACACACACACAAAACACACAATCACACACAGAACACACAAAAAAACACACAAAACACACAATCACACACAGAACACACAAAACACACACAAAACACACACAAAACACACAATCACACACACACACAAAACACACAATCACACACACAAAACACACACAAAACACACAAATCACACACACAAACACACACACAAAACACACAATCACACACACACAAACACACACAGAACACACACAAAAAACACACACACAAACACACACACACACAGAGACACACACAGACACACACACACACAGAACACACACAGAGACACACACAGACACACACACACAGAGACACACAGACACACACAGACACACACAGACACACACACACAGACACACACAGAGACACACACACACAGACACACACACACAGAGACACACACAGACACACACAGACACACACAGAGACACACACACACACAGAGACACACACACACACAGAGACACACACAGAGACACACACAGAGACACACACAGAGACACACACAGAGACACACACACACACACACACACAGACACACAGAGACACACACAGAGACACACACACACAGACACACGACACACACAGACACACACAGAGACACACACAGAGACACACACAGACACACACAGAGACAACACACACACAGACACACACACACACACAGAGACACACACAGAGACACACACACACACAGACACACACAGACACACACACAGACACACACAGAGACACACACACAGACACACACACAGACACACACACAGACACACACAGAGACACACACACAGACACACACACACACACAGACACACACAGAGACACACACAGACACACACACACAGACACACACACACACTGACCATAGGAGAAGAGGCCGGGCAGGTACAGGACCCTGCGCCCAAACAGAGTGGTTCCCCACGACGGACGAAGAGGCTCATGTCCAACCTGAAACAAACACAAGAAGAAGAGAGAAGAAGGAGAGAGAAACGAGAGGAGGAGAAGAGACGAAGAGAAAGGAGAGACGAGGAGAGAGAGAGGATGGAGAGAAGAAAAAAAGTGAAGAGAAGAAGGTGAGAGGAGGGGAAAGAGAGAAGAGAAGAGAAGAGAGAGAGGAGGAGGAGGAGGAGAGAGGAGAGAGGAGAGAGGAGAGAGAGAGAGGGTGGATGGAGAGAAGAGAAGAAAGAAAGAGAGGAGAGAGAAGGAAGAGGAGGGGAGAGAGAAGAAAAAGGCGAGGCAAGTTTATTCGTATTTGTACACAAAGTCATTCAAAGTGTTTTACAGAAGAAGAAACAGATTAAAATCACAATAAAAACAAATCAAAACATAAATCATCATCATAAAATTAAAGATTAAAATTTAAAAAAGAGAGAGAGAGACATTAATTCCATAAATCAGAGAAGAGAAGGAGAGAGAGTGTTGCGTGGAGGTTGTGAGTTTGTGTCTTGTTTGTGTATTTTTGGTCTGTGGAGGTTTGACGAGCGCGAGACCAACTCTTTCAACATGAAAAATAATAACAAATAAGTACTCAGAAAATACCTCACACAGAAGTATAACTGTGTACTGTATATTTACTGTATATTTACTTTATAGAGTGACCAGATTTTCAAAATAAAACTGGGACATTCCTGGTTTGTGATGATTAGTAAAAATAAAACTGTTAAACAAGTGTGAAATTAAAGAAAACTGTTATAAACTCAGCTCTAACATGAGTCAGTTTAGTCACATTTTCTTTGTGTTTTGGTCATTTTTAAGCAGATTTTCTGTATTTTACGGAAACAAATGTCAGTTTATGTCTCATTTCTTGTATAAAACTGGAACAAATCAGTGGTTTTGGAGAAATCTGGGACTGTCCCGGGTCAAAAGAGACGACTGCTCACCTTAATACTGTTTTTATCCTGTATATATCCTGTACTTGTACTGTAAAGTGTATTTATCCTGTATATATCGTGTACTTGTACTTGTACTGTAAACTGTATTTATGTTGTATATATCGTGTACGTGTACTTGTACTTGTACTGTAAACTGTATTTATGTTGTATATATCGTGTACGTGTACTTGTACTTGTACTGTAAACTGTATTTATGTTGTATATATTTTGTACTTGTACTTGTACTTGTACTGTAAAGTGTATTTCTGTTGTATATATCTTGTACTTGTACTGTAAAGTGTATTTCTGTTGTATATATCGTGTACTTGTACTTGTACTTGTACTGTAAACTGTATTTATGTTGTATATATCTTGTACTTGTACTGTAAACTGTATTTATGTTGTATATATCGTTGTACTTGTACTTGTACTGTAAACTGTATTTATGTTGTATATATCGTGTACTTGTACTTGTACTTGTACTGTAAACTGTATTTATGTTGTATATATTTTGTACTTGTACTTGTACTTGTACTGTAAACTGTATTTATGTCGTATATATCTTGTACTTGTACTGTAAACTGTATTTATGTTGTATATATCTTGTACTTGTACTTGTACTGTAAACTGTATTTATGTTGTATACATCTTGTACTTGTACTGTAAAGTGTATTTCTGTTGTATATATCGTGTACTTGTACTTGTACTGTAAACTGTATTTATGTTGTATATTTCGTGTACTTGTACTTGTACTTGTACTGTAAAGTGTATTTCTGTTGTATTTCTGTGACACACTCGTGCGTGTGGTGCGCACCTGGATGAGCAGTTTGACGTAGATCACCGGGTGTTGGATCGCCGTGGCTCCGGCTCCGAGCAGCACCGCGGCGGACAGAACCTCCGCGGGGCTCGGCGTCTCCTCCTCCGGACCCGGCTCCTCGTCCCGGTCCGCGTCGGGAGCTCCGGCGCCGGCCCGGTTCTCTGGAGAGTCCATGTTCGGCTCGGGGCTCGGGGTTCGGGGTTCGGTGCGGCAGAATCGCGGCTCTTCAGGCTCCGGACGCTGCGCTCTGGAGCTGCGCCATGACCGTGCGCTATGGAGCTGTGCGCATGCGCCGGCACGTCAAAACAAACGGGAGGGGGCGGAGCCTTCTGCTTACGTCATACGCACGGCTCGAAAATACCTTTAAAATATGTAAGAAAACAATAAAATACGTAGTAAAAATAAATAAATAAAATAAAACATGTAACAAAACAATAAAATATGTAGTTAAAATTTAAAAATTAAAATAAATTAAATACGTAGTAAGAAAAAATTAAAATAAATAAATTAAATATATAATAAAAAAATTTAATAAGTAGTAAAAAGTAAAATAAAAAATAAACTATGTTGGGGAAAAAATTTAAAATAAAAAAATAGAATATGTAGCAAAAAATGTAAATGAAAAAAAGAAAATATATAGTAAAAAGGTAAAATAAACTAATAAAACAGTAGTAAAAAAGTTTAAATATGTAGCAAAATATATAAATAAATAAATACAATATGTAGTAAAAAAAAAAATAAACTAATAAAATATGTAGTAAAAATTAAAATTTGTAGTAAAAGAAATTAAAATGTTTTAAACTTTTTATTTATTTATATATTTATTGTTTTTTTTTCCCTTTATTATTCTTTTGTTGTTTGTCATTGTTGTGTTTTGTCTTTAAATCATTAAAAAAAACATAGTAAAGTGCAACTTATTTATGTATAAGTTGTAAATATAATATTGTTATTCCATTAGTAAAGTCTCTATTATGATACTGTTTCTACGGAGCCCGTCTAATGACATGCGCAAAAAAAAAAAAATAAAAATTAACTTCATAATGTCTCATTTTATGCACGATCTTTATTTGATTTAGTTGCTTCTGTAAGTCCAATAGAAACATACAAGTTGTTTTGTTTCTTTCACACAAGAAAATGAATCACCAAAACATCTTTTTTATGAATGTATATACAGTATGTGAAGTTATTTAGTGTGAAATCGAAAACCTTTTTAATCTTTATGTGGTGTGGGAACTAAGTTTGGGAAAAGGGATCATTTATTTAAAAACACACAAATATATAGATTAAAATTTTTCTCATTTTATATGGAAAATATTTGATTCGTTGTTGTAACTGGAATCATACCAATGTCTTTCAATTCAAATTAAATCTAGAATATTATTTTAAATCATTAGAAAATCTTTCAAATAAACAAGTGAACCACATGTCATGAGTTTATAAAAGAAAACTTCAGTGTGAACGTTTTAATGACCCGTGAGTCTGGTGATGTTTGTGAACTGTTGGTGTGTTTTAGACGAGGAGGAGGAGGAGGAGGAAGAGGAGGAGGAGGAGGAGAGGAGGAGGAGGAGGAGGAAGAGGAGGAGATCTCGTGTTAAAGGTCACAGGACGGAGTTTTGTACGACGTCTTTTTTTAAAAAACACGTGTCTGTTCATGTAAAGGTTAAAGATGCAGTACTCGAGTACTCTGGAGTATTTTTGTACTGCGTTTACCACTGCAGTGTCAGAGCAGCAGGATAATGAGCAGAGAGACGAGCGACGTAATTGGACGTGTTAATGAGCTCTCTCTCTCTCTCTCTCTCTCTCTCTCTCTCTCTCTCTCTCTCTCTCTGTCTCTCTCTCTCTCTCTCTCTCTTCCTCTCTCTCTCTCTCTCTCTCTCTCTCTCTCTCTCTCTCTCTTCTCCTCTCCCTCTTTCTCTCCTCGCTCTGTCTTTGTGATATCTCCCCCTCCTCTCTCCTCTCCCTCTTTTCTTTTTTCTCTCTCTCCCTTGTACTCTCCTCCTCTCTTCTCTCTCTCTTTCCCTCTCTCTCTTCTCTCGTTCCTCCTCTCCATCGCTCACAAACTTTCTCCCTTTCTACTCACCCCCGTCTCCTTCTTTCTCTTCTCCCTCTCTCTCTCTCCCCCTCTTTCTCTTCTCTCTCTCTCTTGTCTTTTCTCACTTATTTCTTTCTCCTCTCTCTCCCTCCTCCCTCTCTCTCTTTCTGTCTAGCCTCCTCTCCTTCTTTCCTTCTCTTCTCTCCTCTCCTCTCTTCTCTCTCTCTGTGACCACACTCACTCTCTCTCTCCTCTCTCTTTTCTTCCCCCTCTTTCTCTCTCTCTGTGTGACTACACTCACCCCCTCTCTCTTCTCTCTCTCTTCTCACTCTGTTTGTGGTCACACTCCCTCTCCTCCTCCCTCTTCTCTCTCTCTTTGGCCACACTCTCTCTCTCTCTCTCCATCTCTCTCCTGCCCCCATCTCTCTCTCCTCTCTCTTTTCTTTCCCCTCTTTCTCTCTCTGTGTGTGGCCACACTCTCCCTCTTTCTCCTCCTCCTCTCTCTCTCTCTCTCTCTCTCTCTCCTCTTTCCTCTCCTTCTCTCCTCCTTCTCTCTCTCTCTCTCTGTGACCACACTCACCCTCTCTCTTCTCTTTCTCCTTCTCTCCTCCTCTCTCTCTTCTCGCTCTTTCTCTTCTCTCTCTCTTGTCTTTTTTCTCACTTCTCTCTTTCTCCTCTCTCTCTCTCCCCCACTCCTCCTGCATTCCCTCTCTGTCCTTCTGTCTTTCCTCCTCTCCTTCTTTCCTTCTCTTCTCTCTCTCCTCCCCCTATCTATCTCTCCTCTCTCTTTTCTTCCCCCTCTTTCTCTCTCTCTGTGTGACCACACTCTCCCTCTTTCTCCTCCTCCTCTCTCTCGCTCTCTCTCTCTCCTCTTTCCTGTCTTTCTCTCCTCCTTCTCTCTCTCTCTGTATGACCACACTCACCCCCTCTCTCTTCTCTCTCTCTCTTCTCACTCTGTTTGTGGTCACACTCCCTCTCCTCCTCCCTCTTTCCTCTCTCTCTTTGGCCACACACTCTCTCTCTCTCTCATCTCTCTCCTGCCCCATCTCTCTCTCCTCTCTCTTTCTTTCCCTCTTTCTTCTCTCTCTGTATGACCACACTCACCCCCTCTCTCTTCTCTCTCTCCTCTCTCTCTCTCTCTCTCTCTCTCTGTCTGTGGTCACTCTCACCCCACCTTTCTCTCCTCTTTCCTCTATCTCTCCTTTCTCTTTCTCTCGTCGTCTTCTGTCAAAACATTTCATTTGTTCTTCTTCTTTTGTGTCTGACATCTTTAAAGCCACACTGGAACTTTCCTGGTGAAGGTTCTGACACGTTCTTATCTGGAGGAGTTATTGGTTTGTGTGAATGTTCCACAGTGGAGCTTTACTAAATCCTGCTGTGTGGATTGTTCTTCTTCTTCTATCATATAATATTTTTAATTTGGTTCAGTAAAATCTGGACTTTTTATTTCTTTTATCAGACAAAACTTCTTATGTGAAGATTTCCTCGTCTTTTGTTTCTCTACAGCAAATCAAGTAATCCAAAGTAATCAGATTACATTACTCCTTTAAGTCATTTAATGGATTCTGTTACAAACTACATTTTGTTGTATGTAATCTGTAATCTGTAGGGGATTACATTTAAAAGTAAACTTCCCGACACTGTTTTTAAACAATGTTAGAACATGATAAAAAGCTAAATAATTGATTTTCCATAACAGCTCCTCTTTAAAGGTTGTATAGAGGATTTTTTAAGGGAAGAGAAATACAGCAACAGTTCTTTTTACAAATGTTGTGCATGTGTGACACCATCTTCTCCTCCACAGCCTCAGTAGAAACATCTCCTCCCGCCTCTTTACTCTAGAAATCACGTTTGTTTCCAGCCAGTGCTCGTTCAGAATGACTGTTGAAGTTTCCTGTCTAGAAATAATTTACGTCACGTCAGTTTTTAGACCCTTCATCTGCTTCAGTCACGCCGTTGCTGGAAGGAATCTCCAAAAATCACCTCAGTTTGTCTTCACTCCTTTTCCCCTTCTCTTCTTCTTTCAGCGACCTCAAAAACGGACTTTCTTTTGCGGCGAACTGGTCGTGGATTCTCGTCCGCCATCGTAACAAATTTTATGCAAACTGCGAGGAAGCGACAGTTTGAAAAATCCTCTAAAAACCGCTGCATAAACCACGTAATCCCCGCGCGCCGACGAGTCAGTTACACTAGAAACGTAGGGAGTTTGATTGACAACCTAACAGCCAATAGAAAATGAGGCAGCCTCGTTTTCTATTGGCTGATGTTTATCTGGCCTCATTACGTCCACAGTTGATAAATTTTCATTCTTTTTTTTTTTTTTTTTTTGGTCATCATAATTACAAGGCTGCTGCGTCTCTAATGGTGTTTTAAACTTTCATTGACAATTTGAAACTAAAAAAAAATCCTCCATACAACCTTTAAGTTTAGGATGAGTGTCCAGGAAGTCCGTGTGGTTCCTCCTGGAAACACGGAGACTCAGTTGTGATGTTGTTGGTGGTCGTGGTGTTGTTGTAGTTTGTGTGTTGTCCTGCGGAGGGCGCTGCAGACCACGCTCCGCTCTGATGCTGCAGGTTCTGTGGGTCTGTGGGCCGGTTGTGTTTCTAGTTCTGTGAGTGGAGCGTGACCTTTCCACAGCTCTGACGGGTTTATTGGGAAAGAGCCGGAGATAAATATTCATTATAGTTTCACGTCTCGTCTGAGGAGAAAAAATAGAATCATAAATGTGACTGAATGAACTGATGCAGAGTTCTACAGTGGAATTATTCTTTATATCTGAAATGCAGAGACGATTAACACAAGAGGAAGACACTTTTCTGACAATTTAAACCTTCATTTGACTAAATAAACGTTTTGTTGTAAGTAAATAAATACATTTCTTTTAAATTTATGCAGCACTTTTCACAGATGTTTGTCACAAAGACACTTCACAGAGCTTTATTCATTCACTCCAGACCCAGTGGTGGTAAAATACTATTGTAGCCACAGCTGCCCTGGGGCAGACTGACCCTCCGACCACCACCATCACACACACACCACTTTCATACTAGGCAATGTGGGTCAAGTGTCTTGCCTAAGGGCCCTGCTGAGCTTCTGAG